CCCATCGACCGAGCTGCCGCAGAGAAGGGATGCATGAGGCGGCAAGACCGGGGGGAGGGAGGCCGCGCAACCAAAAATCTCCGAGATGATTGGTCACCCCGCCCGGACCAAAAACCTCCGAGATTTTAAACTGTTCCGAAGGGCCGTAAAATCTCGGGACTTGTAGGGCCCTTAGGGAGCCCGCAGGAAGCATTTTAGAGGAGAGCCGAAAAAACTAGACCCCGCGCGAGCGACATGGCCGCAAGTGGCCGCGCCGTTTTACTGAGGTATATCAGATAGATGTCATCAAGCTCCTCTGAAAATTATTTTCAAGTTTCAATAGAAATAGATGATTTGAAGATTTTCTCAATGTTATGTAATCTTCATACCAGAAGCTAGTCATCTTCTTTAAAGATATTTCCCCCCCAAAATTACACCCAATTCCCATTCCCAATAATATCGAAATGCATGAACTGGCTCCAAATTTCGAGTCCGATATGACTATTCCGCAATGCCTGGCAACTAAAATAATCCTTACGGCGTCCCTAATTAGCAAGCCCACCGCGCACAGGGAAAGCAGAATATCATCAAACATCGGACGGAGAAATCCCCTGTATTAATTTTGTTGCAGGAGAGAAGTTAACAAGATGAGGATATCCGCCGATCTCCAATAAGTGATCATAAATTCATGAACATCACGGAATAGTAAGTAAGAAAATCAGGACGAAAGGAATACGTTTCAGGTAACGCTCAGGCGGTTCTGACCAAAGGCATCGAATTGAGATTTGAATAGGATTCCAAGCGGGAGCTTGTGTTGCAATGGAACTTCAACAACCAGGTAAGTGAGGTGTCAGGCGGGCAATTGTTGGGGTGTCAACATCAAACCAGAAAGGTATAAGAATGAATAGCCACATCGAAATGGGATTTCAAGAAAGCAGGTGAAATTAGGGGCAGCACCGGAAGACGGCTTGTTTGATTTGGCTGTGCAAACGTCATAACATGAATAAAGCTTTAGAAAATCACGCCTGCCACCAACAAACGAACTGACCGAAAAGCTTCACACTCACTGCTTATGCACACCGATAAGACCCAATCTTAACTTACAAAAACCCGCGCCTAATTCATGCGCAAACGGCTGGTCCAACTGTTCTTTGTATTTTCGAGCGGGAGTGGTGCAGCAACTGCATCCAAATTGAAGCTGGCGGCTCCCGCATTCTCAAAGCAGCCCACACCATATCCTTCCAAACGCCGTTGTCAACCAGTATGATGCACACGCGCTCCCACATCAACGCGGGCCGGCCTGAATGGAAACCAGCATCACAGAACTGAAGCGGCGGATGCCATTTTCCTGGCGAGCACAAGATGGTAATGTATGTATATATGTATACACATGTTGTATGTTTGCATGCTTCGGTCTGAGGCTGTCTGGGTGCGTGGGGGCAGGTTGCTGTGGATCGGTTGGAGTCCTCGTGGGTTTAGGGTTCCTTGTGGGATGGTTCGGGCTTCAGGTCTTGGCGGTTCTTTTTTTGGCTTAAGACTTTAAAGGTTTAGTGAGTTTTAAGGTTGTATGTTTTGTTCGTCTGCAACTGACAATTTCCGGGTTTGGGCTGCGCTGCTTGCTGCGGCGATGCCAGCCGTAGTAGTCGCTGGGCCACAGTGCTGCTTGTTTCTTTGTTCTTGCCAGTCGCTGCCTATCTTCACCCATCAATTGGCTTTTTGATGGAACTTGAGACCGAGAGGCCCAGTCGTTAATTGCATTGTTTCACTTTAGTTCAGACTACCGACATGCTTGCGTGCGGAGTCTTATCGGGAAAGAAGGGCGACTGTGCTGCTTGCTACTTGGCAGTGCCAAACCGACGACGGAGCCACCTGCATCTCGGCCCACTGGGTTATTTCAGGGCTTGGGGATTGGTTTGTGCTACATAAAGGGTTAGGATGATTTGGGTTTGTTAGAGGTGGTTGTACAGGACTTGGTTTTGTTGAGGGCTTCGGGTTTGCGTGAAACCCCAAACCTTATAAACCCCGACATAAGCTAAGTTTCCCGTTTATGTTCCATTTTCCTTTCCATTTGATTCTACATTACAACCCCCAAAAGTATTTGGGGTTACACTGAAACCAAAGACCTAGTTCTTTGGAGTCATGCAGGGTCGGTTTGGTGCGAGTTGGGTAGGATCCAGGGTTGAACAAGGTTTAGGGTTCCCGGTTGTTCAGGGTTTGCGGCTGGTGAGGTTCAGGGTCTCTGTTCAAAGCTTGTTTGGGGTGTTTAAGATTTGTTCAGGGTGCAGGTTAAAACGTGCTTGTTTAAGGTTAAATGCGTTCGGACTATTTAGAATCCTTGTTTTGAATGTAGAGGTTGAGATTTTCTGGTCTTGAATGGTTCAGGTTTAAGGATTTAGGTTGCTCTGCATTGTTTGGTGTTCTTGTGCGGTGGTTTGGAGGGTTAAGTTCTAAGGTTTTTTTTCCCAGACCTTTTCTCCACTGCCCGGCAGCACAGAACGCTTTACAGCGAGGCCCAACAAGTTCCTGCGTCAAGTACTGAAAATTTCCTATGACAGGCTAAATGAAATCTGAAAAGAAGGTCTTCTCAATTTCCAAGCCCCATCAAAAGAGTGTCCGTAGAGGCCATACAGGAAAAACAGACTGCACTTCCTCTGCCCTTTTGCTGCAAGTCACTCATGTAGTTTATTGCGATGCTGTGTTTGTCCTGTATCAGGTTTCCCTTCATGATGCGACAGCAGCCCTTCGTCATGTTCAACTTGTTGATGGGCTTGCACAGCATCGTTGCCTCCATGAGCCGCCGCACTTTGCCCTAGTCCGTGGTCATGCCCTTCTTCCTGATCATGCCCTTCACCCTGTTGTCCGTGAGCTCCGGCTGACGTCCCACCAATTCCCTCCTCAGCGCTTTCTTCACGGCCTGCCATTTCTGTCCTTTCTTCGCGTCGTTCATGTTTTCCACGTCCTTCTTGACTCGCACTCAGCAAACCAGCTTGTTCCAAACTCTGCTGGGTCGCCCTGATTGCCGTCGCCACTCCTGTCGAGGCGAGTTCCATATGGAAGTCCTGGATCCTGAAAATCCCCATCGAATACTCCCGACTGCCAAAGCTAGTACCAGGCACGTTCAGCTTTTCCTACACCTCCGGGAACTCGGTCATGGCCAACTAGATGATCTCTTCATCCTGGGCCTCCGCCTCCAGGTGGTGCTGCGAAATCGTGTCCTGCTCCAGTTCGTTTGTGTCCTCTACGGCTCCGATTTCCTCCATCTGGATCTCCAAAGTAAGGCGTCTCCTGGATGCGCCACCACCTCATTGCGAAAGGTGCCAAGATCCCCTCCCTCCGTGCCCTTCACCCTGACCGCAACAGCCCTCGTCAGTCTCTTCGCGGGTGCTCCCACTGCTTCGGCCAGGGCGGTCATCTGCTTCTTGAGCTTTGGTGGCCTGCAGTCGGTTCCGCTCTCCTCTTTGAGGTCCCTTTCATATTCTTCCAGTTGCAGGCGCTCTTGTTCTTGGCTGGCTTCGATTTTTTCATTGTATCTGCCGATCTTCCTCCACCATTTCCGTGCGTTAGCATCACTAACTAGCCCACCACCAACCCCAGGTTCTCCTCCCAGGTTAAGACGGTGGTTGTTTCTGTAGCTAGTTGTGGTTAGCTTGTGGAAAACCGGTAGCAGGTAACGTGCAGACTGTAAACTCGCAAGACCCCTGCACTAGCACTTTACCTCCTAGCTACCTACACAGGCTCACTCACTCGACAGGACAGTGCTCGCAGAAACTTGCTGACGGACTTTTTAGCTTGGTGGCAGAAATCCGCTCTCTGTGCAAACTGAGAGACGTCTCTAGCAACGCGCTAGCCGTACTCTCTGTGTAGCCCGAGAGGAGTCTCTAGCTTTCAGCTAGCCAACTCCCTTTCACCTACAGGGCGGGTAGGGTGGGAACTCAAAATTTCCCGCTTTAACGTAGGGGGCTTGATTTCAAAACGGCCACG